AACATTGCGTGGCCCTGTGCCATCTCCATGATTGGTTGTAGACGGGACTGTTATGATCCATTGGGTTTTCACTGGCTGATTTTTGGAAGTAGATCGCCAGGCCGTTCTTCCTTATTTGTTGAAACCTGTTCAGCATCGTAGCAACATACAAGCCTCTACTGACAGACAGGTGGTGGCTATACATGAGGTGCATTGGCCGAGAATTGATGAAGGCAAAAACTGAGCCAAGTGTGGAGACCTGGGGAACGTGGGGCTCAACCTGGAGATGGCAGAGCAAGGGTAAAGAGAAAGAGGCAGTTTTGTTCAAAGACAAAGCAGGTGTCAGCTCCAGGCCCTCAAAAGGAGAGAGATGGATGAAAGAGGAGCTTCTGGGGAGTTCTTCCTCTTCCACCAGGTGGAACATTATGGAGAAAGAGGGTGTGATCCCTAGACCGTCCTGGGGCACAGATGACAAAGGCTAGGGTTCATTGTTCTGCTTCTCAGGAGCCTGTAAGAGAGGCTTATGCAATACTAATACTATACTAATCCTGATGCTAACACACTGGCGATAATGGCTCACACCTCTCTAGGTCTTTACTGATGGTGACACTGTCTGCAAACCTGTTTGATCTTACAGCAGCGGCTCTCACAACTTTTGGTCTCAGACACCTCTAACCTCTTAAAAATGATTGAGGACCCCAAAGAGTTTTTGTTGATATGACCTGTATCTATCAGTATTCACCACAGTAGGAAGTAAAAATGAGAGCATTTTAAAACATTTATGTTTTAATTTATTTAAAAGTAACGAAAATATACTCATTTCCTATTAAGATAAATAGCATTTTTTATGAAAAATACATGTTTTTTTAAATTAGTGAGAAGGGTAGAATGGGCTTTTTCAATCTTTTTGCAAATCTCTTGAATGTCTGGCCTCATAGAAGACAGCTGGGTACTCATATCTGCTTCTGCCTTCTGTCTGTTGGGACTGTTATTTTGTTGAACTATATGAAGAAAATCTGGCTCACACAGATATGTAAAGGTAAAGGGAAGACTTTACAGACACCCTGAAGGAATCTCAGGGAACCCTACTTTGAGAACTACTGCTCTAGAAGGAGGCCAAGCACCCCCATTTTGCAGTTGGAAAACCAAGGTGTGAAGACAGAGGACCAACACTCCTGACTCTTTCTGTAGCCTGCTGTCGAATTGTGAGGTTCCCAAAGGAAGGATGGACCCTCCCCGCAACCTGCCCTGCTCTCAACATAGCTGAGCATTGAACCAAGTTTCCCAGGGGCCTGGGAAGGAGGCATGGCCGGGGTGGCGCTGGGGAACAGAGGCGATAAACAACCTGGGCTGTGGCAGAGGGGCAGCCAGCACCTGGTGTTAACACCCCATGGCTTCTAAGAAACGCAGTAGCAGAGGCCCTAGCACCCCTACCCCCACACTCCTGGGAGGAACCCTGTTCCCAGAAGTCTCTCCCTGGACACTGCCGTCAGCCACGAAGTTCATTTCCTGGTTAAACAAACATCTGTGTTAAATGGTCCAGTTGGGCAACGCCCAGAAACGGCTTCTGAGGAGTGCCTTGGGCACACAACCTGCCAGGCCTCCTCCTTGACCGTCTGGGAAAGACGCATCCATCATGGGGGAGGCAATAAAGCAGGACAGCCCATGTCCCGCCCGGAGTCAGCCTGTCTGCAAGAGGGGCTGGAGACGTGCAGAGTGCCGTGCCTGACCCTACCAGACATCTGTCCCGACTGCTTAGAGATTGTAACAGTGGTAATGGTGATAACTCCAAAAGTGCGGGTAGAGTAGGACCACTTCCATCCATCCTCTGCTCTCATCTTTGCAGGGTGAGGGGAAACTGAGGCACCAGTGCATGGTTTGCCCAAGGTGTTCCTTTTCTTCTGCACCATTGTGGCCAGTGCTCTGAGGGTCAGGAATTAGGAAGAGCAGAGGACAGAAGACAGGGCAAGCCCCTCCTGGATTGCTAGACTCCTACTCCTGGCCTTTACCATGCAGGTAAAGAGTAAGTGTTTCCCAGATTTAAAAAAAAACCACCATCTCTAATCAGCATAGATGCCATTTGTCGAGTACTTGCTATGTGCCAGGCACTCTGCTAAGTGTTTGGACTTTGGGGCCAGGCCACCCGGGTTTGAATCTTGTCTCTGTCGCTTACTAGAAGTGACCTTAGGCAAAGGGTAGGACTTAGTAGCATCTCAGGTTCCTCGTTTGTAAAATGGGGATAATAATAATACCTACCTCATAGAAGCAAGGATGACAAGACTTTGTCTGGCTTACTTTGGACATGTTATCAGGAGGGGCCAGTCCCTGGAGAAGGACATCATGCTTTGTAAAGTAGAAGGTCAGCGAAAAAGAGGTGGATTAACACAGTGGCTACAACAGTGGGCTCAAACATAGTAACAATTGTGAGGACAGCACAGGACTGGGCAACATTTTGTTCTGTTATGCGTAGGGTTGCTATGAGTGTGAGCTGACTGGACAGCAGCTAACAACAACAACCTCATAGGTTCCTGGGAAGATCCAACTAGGGTACACATGTAAAAAGCATAGAACCATACTTAACAGATATGTGAAGAACACACAAATCCATACAACTGGACCAGTAAACAGTATCATGAAAAATCAAGAAGAAATTGAAGTTGTCAAGGGTTTCATTCTACTTGGATTAACAATCAGCATCCGTGGAAGCAGCAGTCAAATCAAACAACATACTGCATTGGGCAAATTGCTGCAGAAGACCTCTTTAAAGTTTTACAAAGCTCATTTTTGCCTCATAGGCATGCAAAAGTTGGATCTTGAAAAAGGAAGACGGAAGAATTGATGTGCTCAAACGGGTGTTGATGAACAAATCAGTCTTAGAAGAAATACAACCAGAATCTTCCTCAAAAGCAAGGATGGCAAGACTTTGACTCAGTTACTTTAGACATGTCATCAGGAAAGACCAATCTCTAGAAAAGGACATCATGTTTGGTAAAGCAGAGAGTCAAGGAAAATAAGGCAAACCCTCAATGAGATGGAATGACGCAATAGCCACAGCAATGGACTCAAACATACCAGCAATCATGAAGATGGCTCGGGACCAGGCAACGTTTCGTTATGTGGTACATTAGGTCACCATGAGTCAGAGCTGACTAAGTGGCAACTAAAAACAAAGTGCTCAGTAAATGCTAACTATAATAGTATTAAGTAGTACTGCTGTTACCTCTGTTTTACAGATGAGGCTCAGAGAAGGGAAATAACTTGCCCAAGGGCATAAGGATAGGAAGAGGTAGAGCCTGGGATTTGAACTCAAGTCTTCTGACCAGAGCGCAGGCTCTCAGCATCATTCTGTATGACAAGTGAGAATTGAATCATAAGCCTGTAGAATATTGGAGGTCATCTTGTCCTTTGTGCTCATTTTATAGATAAAGAAACTGAGCTTCAGATCTCCTGACCTTTCCCTACAAATTAATTTTCTTCCTAGAAGTTTTGCCATAGGGTTTCTTAACTATTGCGGAGCTGTCCTTGCAGAATAAATTTTCCTTTGCAAGGATTTTGCTCATGAAGACTTTTCCCTTGAGGGACTTTGCAGGAGCCCCTCCAGTGGGAAGGGTGAACTCCTCTTGTCCACCCAGCCCCACACTAGCCCATTTAATCCTCACAAAAAGCATTATACCCTTATGCCCATTTTACAGCTAAAAAATTGAGGCACAGAGAGGTTAACTGACTTACTCAGCTACTAAAAGATGGGATCTGAGTCCAAACTGCCTCTCCCAGAGTCCATGCTCTCATCACTAGAGGTAATTATTCACTTGACCAATGACTCGTCAAGTTTAGTAACACACAGGGTTCATCACAGAAGGGAATTTGCTTTATCCACACGTGGGGAAACTGAAGCCCAGCCTCTGGAAGTGACTTGTGCAGGGTAACACCAGGGGCAGTGGTGGAGCTGGAATCAGAACCCAAGTGTCCCAGCCAAGTGCCCTCTGCTCCACCATGGGCCCCCGCCCCACCATGCCTGCATGTTCAGTGTCCACTGTCTGCTTTGTCTGGCTGCCCTGTCGTGTCTTGGCACCTCTCATCCTAGCCGCCAGCCATATCTGATACCTAGCCAGTTTGAGGCCATAGAGAGGGGGCCTGTTTGCGGCAGAAACCCAAACATCTGCCTCAGCTCCTGCCCATCCTTCCTGTTTACAGACATAATCTCAGTTTATCCCCACATTTTACGAGCATGGGAACTGGGGCTCAGATGTGTTAAATGGCTTACCTTCTGAGGTCAGTCAGCAGAGTTAGTGCTTCCCAACTGGAATGAATATTCATTCATTCACTTATTCTTTCATTCGTCCTTCCTTCCTTCTTTCTTCTTTACTTCCTTCCTATCAACAAAGGTAAAACCAGTGTATGCCAGGCACTGGTCCCTTCCCTCCAGGGGAGACATAATTGATAGGTATGATGAGAAAGGGATGCTCAGAGAGAATACCTAACCCAGCTGGTTCTGGGAGAGGGGATCAGGAATGGCTTCCTGGAGGAGGTGATACCACACTAAGTCTTAAAGGATGACTGAGGTTAGCCAGGCAGAGAAGGGGAAAAGGACACAGCAACAGGATATGCAGAAGCAAGAAGGCAAGAGAGCTCACTATGTACAGAGAACCACAGGTTGTTCAAGATTGCTGGGTGCAGGTGGGGAGGAGGCAAAGGTTATTCAATCACGATAACGGCCCTTTTTCGAGCATTTATTATGTGCCAGGCAACAGACTGGGCATTATCTCAACAGCTTTCTGAGTTAGATACTATTAATATCCACATTTGCAGATGAGGAAACGGAGGTGCAGAGAGGCTAAGTAACTTGTTGAAGATTGCACAGGTTGTGAGTGCCAGGGAAGGAAGGGGTTGAGAAGCACTTGGGATTCACCTCAGGCAGCATGGTAGCCCAGTCTATAAACCTAATGCTTATGGAGCAGGATCTCCCATCTGCTTCCCCCATTGACACCCACCCCTGCTGATGGCTCTGTTTCCTCCCCCAGGTGGAAGGACAGTCCAGAGCCCATGTCATCGCACAGGAATTGCTCTCTTCGGAGAAAGTGTGAGTCCCCAAGCAGCTGCCTGTGGCCTTGAGCTTGTAAACAAAACATCACCCCTCCCGGGCTTATCCAGGATGGGAATTAATGCAGACTCAACCCTCTTTCCCTCTGCAGATACGTGGAGATGCTCCAGCACTTACATCTGGTGAGTTAATCATTTTAATTGTCAAAACTAATTGCCCTTTTACAAGGCTGTGATATAAGAGGCAGAAAAGCAATGAGGAGACAGAGGTGAACTCCACTGGCAGCAGGCAAGTGTTCACCGAGGCCTTTCAGGGAAGTGTATGTCCTGATTAATGTGCTTTGGTGGGGGGAGGAGGATGACTCTCTGCTTTCTGTAGATTTGTCTCCCTGCTTTGAGTATGGGGTATCTGGGGGATGTGCTGAGGTTTCTGGAAGGATGTTTGAGATTTCCTCATCCCTGTTGTTGAGGAAGGTGGAAGGAGGAGGATGCACGGGTGGTTCCAGGCCATTGCTGTGTGTGCAGGTTAAGATTATAGGTGAACGTGTGTATGCATGTGTGTCAGTTATATGTTTAGGTCTGTATGGAGAAGGCAGTGTGTTTGCACACTGAGAGAGCAGCTGCGGGTAAGCAAGAGGCTTTATCAGTCACCCCAGAACTGAGGTAAAGCCTGAGCCTCTGGAGTTTTCAGAGAATAGAAGACCAGACTTGGGGATGGGCTGGCTAAATGGACAGGCTGACCCCCACTGGGCACTGCCGCCCTTCACAACTCAAGAGACTGCATGGAATGTCACCGTTGCAGTCAGCACAATTCAGTTTAACAAACAGGAGCTGGGGCATGGAAAGACAGAGCAGGCAGGTTCTCCCCCCACAGGAGCCCTCTGGCCACGGAAGGAGACAGATTAGTAGATGAGCCATTATTTGGAACACAGACGCGTTCAGTGGTATCATTCTTGCCTTCCATGCAGGAGATCTGTATTCTCTTCCTGACCGATGCAGCCACCACCCGTCTGTCAGTGGAAGCTTTCGTGCTGCTATGATTGAGGGGGGTGATTGACCATGTCAGGGAATTGGACAGCCTTCCCTGAGAAGTGTTGTTTGGGCTCAGCCATAGGGAGTGGTGAGGGAAGAGGGCTCTTAGGCAGAGGGAAAGAAAAAGATGTGGGGATGTGAGGGGCATGGTGGGCTCTGGATCTGTGAACATGCTAAGCCATTTGCAGTCTAGTCATACAGTTTAGCATTTGATTCTTTGCTGCTTTATAGATCGCTCACCATGGATCTTATAGAATGTCACAGCTGGGAATGTCCACCCTGGACATTTGATAGGTGGGAACATGTAGGCCTGACGGGGGCGGAGGTGGTTCAGTGGTAGAATTCTTCCATGCAGGAGATCTGGGTTCTATTCCCGACCGATGCACCTCTTGTGCAGCCACCAGCTGTCTGTCAGTGGAGGCTTGCATGTTGCCATGATGCTCAACAGGTTTCAGTGGCGCTTCCAGACTAAGACAGACTAGGAAGAAAGGTGACCTCCTTCCGAAAATCAGCCAGTGAAAACCCTATGAATCATAGCAGTCAGATCTGCAGCCGATCATGGGGATGGTGCAGGACTGGTCAGTGTTTTATTCTGTTGTGCATGGGGTCACTATGAGTCGAGGGCCAACTAGACGGCAGCTAACAGCATCAGTATGGAGGCCCAGTGTCACACAGTGGCTGAGCCAGGTTGACCCCCTGGGCCTGGAGCTCCTTGGGGAAAAGTTATCTCTGGGTGCACCAGAGTGCCCAGCACTGCGAGGCCTCTTGCTGAATCCAGCCAAGGCCCAGTTCAGTACCTCCATGCTGGCGCCACGTTCCAAAGTGAGCAGACAGCACCAGGCCCCAGGGAGAGGGCAGAGCACTGCTCTGGCCTGGCACTCTCAGTCCTTGTTTTCCCTTCACCACATGTGGATTATTAAACTCTGAAGCCCTCAGGTGTGCAGTGTATGAGCCATCCCCAGTTGATGCCTAAGGGACCCATCTAGCAAGGGCAGGAAGGCACTCTCCCATCTCCGCCTCTCTCACTTGCTCCCAAGCTGGCAGCATGACAGAGGGCCTGGACTGTCTTGTTATATGACTTTGTTAAGAGGGTTTTAACTGGGAAAATTCCATCTGTGTTTGTACTCTGTCCTGCCAGTTGGAAAGATGCTGAAGCTGCTGGTAATCCATAATAATATCCTGAGGAGGTGGAAAAAGGAGCCCATAAAAACCACAGTTCATAAGCTAGTTGTGGGAAATTGTGGTCTGAAGCTGTGTTTATGATGTCAGTTCTTATGGGAATGGAAGTGGCAGAATTCCCCCAAGATGATCCCAGGTCCTAGTCTAGGACACTCATCTTAAAGGAGACCCATAGACTTTGGGGCATTTCCACCAACTCCCCAACCTTGGATCCATTTCTCGTTGCTAAGGTGGCAGGCCCTGTCTCCCAAAATCTGTCCCTAGAGATTTGATGCTATTAAAATCCTAAGGCTGCTCATGATGGGGAGGGGCCAACTTTACATTCTAAACCTCCCCAGCTGGAAAGGTCACTGGCTCCCTTATGCTGTGGTTGGTGGGGGATGGCCTCTTGGCCTTTGATGTTCTGTGTTTGGAATTCAACTCTGTGCTTGGCTAAAGGTAGAGCTAATTCAGGGATTACTAAAAACTCTGGTCATCCAAAATTGAATCCTAACGATCAAGCTCGTATTTTTGTATCACCTGTTAACTAAAAATGGTTTTCACATTTTTTAATGGGTTGTGGGAAAAAAGGGGGGCAGTGTGTGGCTCACAAAGCCAAAAATATTTACTATCTGGCCGTTTAGAGAAAAAGTTTGCTGACTCCTGGTTTTAAGGCTGTCCTCTATCCTTCCAGGAACTCAGTCATAAGTGACTCATCTGTCTGGGTCATCAGTCTCTCACCCACCAATCTAACTAGCCGTTCACCTACTCATCTGTTCTTTCATTTATCCATGCACTTAATGATACGTCGGTGCACCCATTCATTCCCCAACTCATCCACTACTCAGTTGTTTGTACATCCACCCATCCATCCATCCACTCACCCATCCAGCCATCTATCCATCCATCTGCCAGTCATCCATCCATCCACTCATTCATCCATCCACCCATCCCACCCACCCATCCATCCATCCACCCATCCCACCCACCCATCCATCAAACTTACCCATTCATTCCAGATAGAACATCACAGAATGTTTTCAGTGCTCTAGGTTCTGAGACAGACCTTGGTGCCTCAGAGATGAATAAGGCCCGGAATCTGCCCTTAAGTATGTCTCTCTTTTTTTGTGGGAGGGAAATTGAGAAGGGAGGAGAAATAGACATGTGAATAGACAATTATGCTGCTCTGTGGTAAGTATAATTTGTGCAGCTTTAGTTTTGTGTAAAATCTGCAGAAGCACGGTGGAGGAGGAGGATCCCCACTCCTTGGTGGCATGCAGAAGAGGTGCCATTGAGATGGACTTTGAAGGAGTTCATCGGGCTAGGGGAGTGATGGAAGGGGACACAAGACAGGTGGCCCACATCAGCCTGAAAGTACGTGGCACGTTTGGAGAATGGTGCATTGTCACATATGGTTAGAATATAGATACATTTGGAAAGGCGGGTTGGAGCTGGAATTAGGGGTCAAATGATTGGTCCAAAAACAAGGTTAGGACCAGGTTGTATATCATGAGCGGTTAGATATTTTGAAAAGATATGGCCTCAGGACACCTTCAAGCCTCTGTTTTCGCATCAAAAAAAAAAAAAAAAAAAAATCCTGCTCCCAGCAGCAGCTGAAAATTTCTACAGTGGGTCACTCCTTTGGGCTAAGGCATTGAAGGCTGTTCAGAAGCCAGTCTGCTCACTGGGAGAGGTAACTCTGAAAGTTGTTATTACTGACGCCCTGGGAGAAAGTCCTCACCCAAGGGGTCCTGTGCGATCTGTCCCCTGTCTGCCTCTCCAGCATTATCTCCCACCACTTTCTTCTTCACTCACTGCAGCTACTCTGGCCTTCTTGCTGTTCTTCAAATTCTACAAATGTGTTCACACCTCACAGCTTTGGCATTTGCTCTTCCCTCTGATGGGAATGTCCTGCCCGTGACTTCACATAGCCATTTCCTGCTCCTCATTCAGGTCTTAGCTCAAATGTCACCTCCTCAAGGAAGTGGTACCCTGAAACTTAGTGGCATAAAACAACCATTTTATCATGCTCACAGTCTCTGGGTCAGGAATTCGGACAGGGCACAGTGGGGAGAGCTTGTCTCCATGATGCTTCGTGATGTCTAGAGCCTCAGGTGGGAGACTCAAAGGCTAGGAGTGACTTGAGGGTTAGGTACTGGAAGCATCTGGAAGTGTCTTCACTAACATATCTGGTGATTGATGCTAGCAATTGACTGGGACCTCAGCTGGGCCGTTGGTCAGAACATTTACATGTGGTCTTGGTCTCTGCATAGGCTAGTTTGGGCTACCCCACAGCAGGGTGGCTGGGTTCCAAGAGCAAGTATCCTAAGAGGGAGCAAGGAGGAAGTATGTGACATTTTTATGGCCTCATCTCAGAAGTCATGTAGCCCCGTTCCACCATACTTTGTTGGCCAAGGCAGTCACAGAGGTCCACCGGGGTTCAAGGAGAGGGACATACACTTCACCATTCAGTGCTTGAAGAGCATGTGAGATAGGAGATACTGTTGTGGCCGTTATTTGGAAAAATACAGTCTCCTACAGAAGTGTTTCCTAATCATTCTGTTTCAGTTAGGAATTGTGTTTGCTGCTAGAAACAAAGCCTCAGTTACGGTGATTTAAATAATTTAGAGATTATTCTCTTATGTGAAAGAAATCCAGAAATAGGCAGTCCAGATCAAGTTTGATAGCTCCACAGTCTCAAGGACCAAGATTCTATCTTTCTGTCTGCTGCTTCCATTTTCATGGTTGTTCATGAACACAGGATGGCTTCTGCAGCTCCAGCCATCATGTTCATGTCCCAGGCAGGAAGAAGAAAAGGCAGGAAAGCAAAAAAGTCGTGCCTCCCAGCTCACTCAGCCTTCTTGAAAAAGCTTTCCTGAAAGCTCCACTCGACAATGTCTGCTTCCATCTCATTCGGCAATCCTAGGTGCAAGGGAAGCGAGGTCAACTGAAGTTGACTGGCTCTAAGCTGGGCTTGGCTGAATGAATCTGCT